TACAATCATAGCTAATGGTTTTGAATTCATGAATAGATCTCCCACAAGAGACTCAGAGTCCAGAAAATCTTGCGTTGATTCAATAATAGTTCGAAAAATCATTGATTTTGAGGTATCAGTACTAGATACTGAATCTTTTTCCGATCATTATCCGGTTACCCTGAGTATAAAATTTAATCCCTTGATGCCCAAAAAACAATTTGCTGATTACTTATCAATTTTGAAGCAAAAGTAACAGTTTTCAGATCTGAATGATTTGAATCACTTTGATGATTTTGCCTATGAGAACTTTCAAAACCGCTTCGTTCTATCATTAGATGAATTCGTACCAAGGCAAAAGTATTCCATAAATTGAACGCGGATTGGTTTACTTAGTCTATCAAAAATGCACTACTTAGATGAATTAAGTTGTACAGAAATTTAGAAATTACATAAAGGAGTAAAAACAAAAGAACTTTCATTGAAGAGCGAAATACATGTCATACACTTGTAAGATAAACAAAAAAGAATTATTACTATAACAAGTTAAGCAATTGTATGAGAGAATCGAGACAATTATTGTTCCGACTTTCGATACGAAAGTAATGGGAATATTTGTGCTCGAGGTGGGTTTTTTTTTCTTCAGACAAATTTCGACTTTTTAACTAGCCATTTTTGACGGAACTTTTTTATATCACTCGAAAGGTATTGTTGTCCTGAGCTTAAATTTGAAAAGATAGTTTACCTGTGATCATTTTTCGTAAAGTTATGGGGGTTTAAATATTGCTATTTTGGCCAATTTGGGACAATTAACGCGCGATATATTTCGCGCTATTAACGCGTAAGCGGAGAGTTAATCCGTCTTAAAACCGTTCGAAATTGGTTGAAAGAAGCTTATTTGCCGCAATTGATTTGTTACAAGGAGCTGAATCTATCTTTTGCACTTTATAGGGCGTGTGGGATGATGATTTTCATAAAAACAATATCAAATTTTAGAAAAAAAATTTTTCATTTTAATTTATTACAATTATTTTTTTAACGTTATTACTGCACCATAAAACCTTAAAAGGCAGTCGGAACATTCAGGGCTTGGCCCTGATACAAGCAGTCTTGTTCGAATTAGTAAATGAAACAACAGGCAGGGCTCCTAATTCTAACAGAATAACAAGTATTTGTGAAACTGGCGAAAACTGAAATGAAATCTCTTCAATTGCAAATGCTTTCAATGAACTTTCTTACATCTGTCGAATCGAAACATGCCCATAGATTCCGAACACTGATACTATCATAAAGTTTGAAAATGTCCCTCAATCAATATATCTATTCAATTTCTCAATTCACGAAGTCTTGAATGTTTTTAAGGGTCTCAAATCTAAGCATTCATCAAGTGTGGATGAAATAAGTAATCATTTAAAGTATCGGCCTTTATTGTTGCCCCATGTCTGACATTTCTGATCACTTTTTCAATCCATACGCTGGTAAGTTTCCGAAACATTTGAAGTATGCCAAACTACTTCCGCTGCATAAGTCGGCGAGTAAATGTAATCTTATTAATTACCATCCGATTTCCCTTCTGCTTAGCTGCAGCAGTGTTCGAAAGTTCTCACAAATGAACAATTATTTTGAAAAACTTAATCTGCTTTATTGCAAACAGTTTGACTGCCGTCAGAATTATGCAACAATTGACGCGCTAGCCAAATTTACAGAAAATTTAAGGTTCCGTACTGAAAACGGTTTAATATGTGGTTTCTTTGTTGTTCTAAGGAAAACATTCAATACTGAACCATAAAATTTTGCTTGAAAATAAGAAATATACGGCATCAGAGAACTGTGTCACAAATGTTTCATGAGCTATCTTACAGGGCTATGTCAATGCCTTCAGTTTGCTAATGCTTTATCTGAGTGGTTACCCATACATTTGAGTGTCCCGCAGGGCTCAGTGCTGGGTCCGCTTCTTTTCTTAAATTTAAATGAATGATAAGCCTAATGTTTCTGAAGCATCAGAGATACTCTTGTTTGCCGATGATACGAATATAATACCCGACAGCTTAAGTATAGCTGAATACCGTTTGGATCTTTTCAAAATTCATTCTTGACTACTTTCGAATAATCAAACCTTAAAAACCGACCCTAATTAAATTCAACCAAAACTCTGATGCTTCCAGTCTTCGCATTGCTATAGATAATAATTTATTTCATTCTTAAGTTCATGTAAGTATTTAGGAGTAACTGTCGATAATAAACTAAGTTTCGCGTATCTTGTTTTAAAAAAAATCAGAATTAGTAAGGCATTGTGGCGTTGTTTCCAAAACGAGACATTTAGTATCGCTAGGGGTCAATAATTATTACAGCTACAAAGTTCAGCCGGGAATCCAATATAGTTTATTTGTTTATGGATGTACACCAACAGACTTCAACAGGACTTTTTGTTGCCAAATGAATTAATAAAAAATGATACTCCTTCAGCAGAAAACTTGAAAGCACATGTTGAGTTTCAACAAAACAAAATTCTTGCTATGCATGAATTGTATGATTATGATCTTTTGAAATTTTGTATGCAATCATTCAAATATTTGCATTCGAATGACTACTTCAATGAACTCTTTGCTCAAAACATCAACTAATTTAATACAAAAAGATCACTTTTTCCTTCTTTCAAAAAACCATTTGGTGTAAAGAAAATCAAATCTGCCTCCTTGCGAAACCATGGATTTGAACATCTTGAGTATTAACAATTTATTGCCTGAAAAACTAGGTCAGATGAGTCATCGTGAAGTGTCGGTGTGTCCACAAATTAAAAAAACACGTACCTTTTCGGAAACTCCGAGCTTGTTCATTTTATATTTAATAGCCATTTACTTCAAAGTGCCATGATTAGAATGCCATTTTGAAAATTAGAATAAACTAACATTAAATACCAAAAAAATGACCCTTATTAATTTTAACATTAACTCTGATGCTTCCAGTCTTCATCTTGCTCTAGACAACAATTTCTTTCAGAGTTAAGTTTCATGTAAATATTTAGGAGTAACTGTCGATAATAAACTTAGTTTCACGTATCATATTGATAAAATCAAATCAGAATTAGGAAGGCATTGTGGCGTTGTTTCCAAAGTGAGACATTTACTATCGAGAGGGTTAAGCCGGTAATCCAATATGGTTCACTTGAAGGGCGCGTTCCTATGACGCTATATAAACCCATTGAGAGGGGGTAGGGGCCCTCTCGGAACATTTGACATTTGGCCAGTTTAACACTTCCTACTTTTTTAAAACAATTATTCGGGTGCTCAAAAACGCCCCGCTAGAAGTCCTCGATTTTGCATGCGAACCTAGACCCCGGAAATAAGGGCAGTTTGTCAATGCCTTTTTTCGATGGTCTTTATTTTAACATGGGTTTTGGTCAATTTTGGCCTTTTCCCAACGACCCCAAAAAAATCTTTTTTTTATCAATTATCTCTGTTCCAGTAATATTTCGGCTTTGGTCAAGAAGACCTCTGTGATAGTGCCTAAGAGATGTGGTGTGATGCTTTAAGCCGTTTGGCATATTTTTTCTTTGCTTTTGCAAAAATTGAAAACTTCATTTTTTAAGATGGTCATCTAAGGTTTGAAAAATGAAAATCTTTTGTGAGTTGAAAATAAAGGATCTCATAACAAAAACTAGTTTCTTGAGGGGTAATATGAAGTTTCCAGTAGCAAAAACCCTGAAAAATTCGTTTTTTGGTTGTATAATTTTTCTTATTTCGTCGTTAGACCAAATTTTGTAGGAAAAAGAGAAATTTGAATTTAGATATGTCCCACATTTGCTTTAGTAGTTTGGGTCATATATAGCAAGGTGGAAACTTTGAACTACTGACATTCATTGTAAGCGGCCGCAAATATTCATGACTTGTTGTAAAAAATAACAAGTGCTGAAACTATTGCGAAAAAAAAAACTTTTTAAATTTTATTTTGAAAATCCTGTAGGGTGCTATGTGGGCCCCTTAGGGTCCAAAAGAGGAATATCTTACTCGGAAAAACCATAAACCAGAAACTAAAAAACGTTGTTGATTTGTTAAGCCATCATGTCGTTTTGACTGAGCATTATAATGTCTTGCGAAAGCGTTCTCAGCTGCCCTGCCAACCATTCAAAATACCGGAGTGTGCTCATGCGCATATTAAGACTGAAATTACGCAAAACATCATGCCAAGGTAGCGAGGGTGGGACGCAGACCTGACTGGCTAGTTTATGGATGTACATCTTTTTCAAATTTCAACCCGATTTTTTGTTGCTTAAGAAACTGATAAAAATGATCTTCTTTAGGAGAAAATTTGAAAGCATATCTGTTGAGTTTCAAAAAAAACAAAATTCTTGCTGTGCATGAATTGTATGCTAACAATCTTTTGAAATTTTGCATGCGATCAGCCAATAATTTGCATTCGAATGACTTCCTCAATGAACTTTTTGCTGAAAACAGCAACTATAATAAAACAAGATCACTTTTTCCTACTTTTACAAAACCTTTTGTGTAAAGAAAATCAAATCTGCCTCCTCGCATAACCGGGAATCTTAAATTTTGAAAATACTGAGTATTGAAAAGTTATTGCCTGAACGATCAGATGAGTTATCGTGAACTGTCGGTGTTTGTCCACAAATTAAAAAACACAGAAAATTTGGGAAACTCCGAGCTTGTTCAATTCATATTTAAAAACCGTTATTTCGAAACCAGCTTTTGCATGCATCTGATGATATCGAATATGATTAAAAGCCATTGTAAAAATTTTGAGGGCTTGAAATCCTCTAGTTTTCAGAAATTGATGGTTTTTGGAAACTTTTTAGGATCAACGAAAATTTTTCAAAACGTCCTTCCAAAAAAAACACGTTTTTCTAGGCTCTTTTTAAATGCTACCATAAATTTTCCACAACTCCGACTCAACTCCAAAAACATGACCCCTCAATTCGTGCTAGTTTTTGAGAAATCGCACTTTTTATGAAATTTTTGGATTGTTGCGTTTTATTCTTATCTCAAAAAAACTTGGTAAAATTAAATTAGCATATAATCGCGAGAATAAAATCGATAGTTCCGTACTGAAAATATTTGAATACAATTTAGGAAAATCATTCCAGTATACAATTAACCAAATAAGCTCAAAATTAGTTGAAACAGACTTGTGTTACTGATGCATAAATATACAGTTTACAACTAAATGAACAATTTCAGAATATCAAAGCAATTGATCAAATTGATTTCGAATACTTGATAGAAGCACCTGAGTCGAAACAGTTAAACTGCTAATCAGCTTAAATTTAAACTTGTCAAATACAACACATTTATTTTTGATCAAATGTGGTTTAAATTTAAGCTCTTATCTACGCTAAAGAATATTTAAAACTTGATTATACGACATTTCATACTCAAGATCCGTTAAAAATTTGACTTCAGTTCGTCTCGCGATTTATTTCACAATTGAACTTGCAACCGCGAAATCCAGTTTGATAGGGTAGGAGACATACGAGTAGAACTCCTCTGCCTGGAATCCGAACTGGCGCGACATCTCAATGTCCTCAGAGAGAGCTCCTCCCTCAGACTTGTCGAACTCTTTGTTCAACATGTCTCGCAGTTTTTTCTGTGTCTTGGGCCTCGGGTGCATCAAGGCAGACACGAAGTTCACGGGGAGGCCGTAACGGAGAACAGACTCGACGAACAATCGCAGGGCTTTCATGTGGATCCAAGCTGGAAATTCAAACAGACAAAAATCATTTCAAAAATTTAAATATGCCACCACTCAGACAACTTAACTCTTACTTTGGGAGACAAATTTATGGTGAACGGACTATATTATGATTTTTTGAAATTTTTAGCTCCAAAATTAACAAACATTAGAGGAAAAGAGATTAACAAACTACTGAGGAAGGAACATTAATCTTTAATTCGTGTACATCTGATCAAAAAAATTTATTATAAAAACCCTCATATTATGTAGGCAATTAACGTTGCTATTAAATACCGCTTTTTGAAATGCTAAAACTTAGCCAACAAAAAGTTGAAAAAGTGTCTATGAACTCAATGAAATCAAAACAAATGATCGACTTTCTTCTGAATATTTTTTTTAACTTTTGGAGAAAAAAGTTATCGTTGAAGCTCTGAGTTTCATGCACATTTTATGGTAATAAGTTTCTTCGTAAAACTAACCCAAAAAGAAAAATCTTGAACAAAAAACAATTTTTTTTCCAAAGGGAAATCGTTCAGCTAAAATCCATTTTCGAAACTTAAGTCGCACACGTTTTTTGTTTTTTTTTCAGTTGCAATCGGAAAGCGTAATTTGCCTTCCATTAAGCCAATGCATTGAATTTTGTATGAAATTGGAAAGAACGCCGCAAGAAAAATCAAATTTGAGCATGACTTTTCCTGTAACATAAAACCCACACAACCTAATTAAGCGTCAATAAATTGCTCATCGACTCTCAAAAACGTTAATTCACATTATCGACAAAAAATGTTCGTTCAGATTGCGTATCGTGTACGTTTGTATAGGCCTTCGCAAAAGGCTTCCTTTCAAAATGGCACCCTTTGTAGTGAGACAATCATAAAAAAAAATTTCAGAAAATTAAAATAGATGTCAACATGTGCCTGAACAATAAACTTACCTGAGAATGCTTCGCCAAATTGAATTTTCAACCAAGGCAGCAAATTCCGGTACTGTTTATCTCTTTTGTGCTCCAGCTCTTTTTGTTTCTGCTTATTTTGCGAGAGCACCTCTTCGTTGTAGGTATAATTCCTTACCATGAACTTCTTCTCTCGACACTTTTCCCTGAACGGCGCGAACTGCGCGGCAAAGAGTGTCACCGTGAATAAAGTATTTTCATGGTCACTGAAAATCATTTGAGAAGAACGTGGAACTACTTTTTCGGGCAACAAACTCTCGTACGTCTTTTTCCACTCATCTACCGCAGAGTTCGGGACTACCACCGCAGCGATGGTAAAATATTCACTATTTAAGACATGCTCCACGTGCTCCCTCTTTATAATGCCATCAAGATCCCTTGTAATCAGAGATCCAGTTTGTTGCCTGACATAAGATTGGATGCTGTTCTGAAGTGCTGTATAGTCCTGCGATTTGCTTTTCAGTTCAGATTCAATCTGCCCGACTTCTTTAACAATGTGATCCAACAAACTTTTTAGCGATTGTTGCACCGGGTACTTTGCAAAATCCCACGTGAAGTGCTCGAGATACGCTCTATATGCAGTTCGATTGGCAACCATCAAGTGGTCTTCCAAACTATCCGCCTGTGTCTCCAAGATTTCGATCAAGTATGATACCAACTTTCGCACCACTGCCTCTATGTATTGATCCTGCCTCTGCAGAACATCTGACAGCTCTACAAGCGAGTCAAGTGTACCTACTCTTAAATCGTTCAATGGAAAATTGAAACGATGACAGTTGCATCCATCGATTCGATCTTTAATACTTTTGATTCGATTGAACGTCTCTTCGGGACTCTTATCGCCAGGTGCACTAATCAACCAATATTCATGCATCACAACTGAAAGAACAAGATAAGCATGAATTAATACATTAGCACAAAAAAAATATACCAGTGTTCAGGCGTCGAAAAAATTAACTGTAAAAAACTACAACATATTTCATTTTTTTGTAGGCGAAGTTAGGATACAGCTAAATTCTAAAAATGAAGAAAATTGTGACATTCGACCAGAATGGACAAAAATGCAGACGCAGCAATTTCGAGTTTTTAGCAGAGAACCTTCCGAATTGGCGGTTTTGAAGGAATAAGAGCGTTATTCGGACGATTGGACAAATCGTGAAGGCTGAAGGATTCGGAAATTCCTAAACTTTAAAAATTCGAATTGATGACGTAACAATTTGTAACATTCGCCCGGAAGATACATATCGACGGAAGACAAAACTAAGTCTTAAGACGACTGGCTAACGTCTAAACAGAGCTTTGCATGCTTTTCACCGTCTCTACCAAGCCAGTACTTTTCGGTGGTCTTTCTAACATCGGGTCGACAAAAACGTTACTGCTTTCGGCTTCGGTCAAAACACTCAAATTAACTAGATTACATGCAGAAATAGTGAGCTCATGGCTGGGTCTCAGTATCCCCAGACCACGAGGTCACTCCTAAAAACAGGGCTACTACTCATTATATTACTATTGTTTTTGTTCAGTAGATAAAAATCATCATCTCCATCGAAGATGGATCAACCCTTTCCCCCAACTCCTAGCTTCTCATCCTTATCAAAATGAATCTAGATGTTAATTAAATTCAAGTCAGGACATGACAGGAAGCTAAAAGTTTATGTAACAGGATAAAAGTTTCAGTTCCTTTACCCCTCCGGATTGACAAATCCGCTGGATCAAGCTTGTTAATCCTGATTTCTTCTTAATCCGGAAGGCCGTCTTTCACCCTTCACCGTGTAACATTCGCCCAAATATCACACAGCGACGGAGCGTAGAAAAAGTACCTATTAACGACTGGCAGGCGTCAGTTACCTTAATCCTACTCGTTTTTCACCGTCTCGACCTTGCCAGTTGTTTTTCTGGTCTGTTTAGGGCAAAGTAAAAAGTTACCATTTTTAGGCCATCAGTCAAACGACTTTTGATCAGCTTTCGTTTACATGCGAACACAACCACATAGCCGAGTCTCGGATCCTCAGACTACGTGATTTTCATTAAAAACACGGCTCGAACAACCTATTTTAACATGTTTTTGTGTGACAGTTCTATATTAAATCCATTGGAGATGGATTGACCCTTTCCTTCTTCTAGCTACTCATGCTCTGAAATATTACATAATAACGGTGTTAATTAAGATCTATGACATTATAGCAGCTATACAGTCAGTCTATACAGTCCCTTCACATAGACAGTCTCTGGGGGACCAAGCCTCCGCTCCCGTGATATTCTTGAGATAACACTCTTATCTCTTATATTTCGTGTCCCGGGAGGGTTCCGTGGTATATTTCTTCCCCCACTGAAGCCTCCTTCTCCACAAATATCCGTCGCTAAGGTTCTTGTCGTGTGTTATTGCCACGATAAGAGGCTTCGTAATTTTCCTGTCTCTGATACGACTGTTCTTCACAATATTTGGCGTCGTTCTGATTTTCGTCTTTTTTACTCAAAATGGCCGTCTTTTTTCTATTTCTCAGAAATGTTCTTCTTCCAATCGAAATTTTAAAAATAAAAATTCCAGAACATTCTGATCCTCCGTCGCAACACTTTTTTGTTCATAAGGCCTTCAGTCACTCATTTTTATGTCGCCGGAAGGTGGTGTTGTGTCATCTGGCAGAATGGCACATACTCCCCGGACAAATCTCCATCAATGTCCCTATTGATCGCATAACACCGGGTTATCGTCAAGTAGTTATCCAGTTTTCTGTAACCAATCTTACAAATCGCATAAGAAAATGAAATTTATCTACTCCACCTCAACTCACTACGTGTTCACAAATGGCATCGTACTACATCTCACTGCCTTTCAACATTTTCACAAAATTTGCACCATGAGGAGTGTCCTAGATAAAATTTCTTTTCTGACTACTTACGTCATCTCGCCATAAAACTTCTTTTCGCCTCTGATTAAAAAAAGGGACGTGGTACGGCCACGCACCCGTTAAAATTAACTTAACTTCACTCACCAAGTATAATCAGTCATTTATGCGGTCCTTTCAATATTAAAACTAAGAAACTCTGTGGCTAGGAAAGTTCTTGAGTTACCCACCCTTCCAGGGTGAGTTTACTCAAACTTACCATGTCGCCACACAGTGAATTTGTGTCTTACACAGGTTAAAAACTTCAGTCGTGAATAAATAGGTAAATATACTCACCTATGTTCCTTATATACATACATAGATAGTAGTAACTAAAATCAATAATTTCAACAATTTTAACAATTGCAACATTTTCAAAGTTTGGTCTGACCAAACTAGATCAAAACAAAAAGTTTCACAAGTTCAATAATCAAAACTTGGTTGATTTGTTCAAGTTTTTACACACAAAGACAATCAAGTTTTTTCTCCTTCTCTTCTCTTCTTTGGTCATCTTCATTCCATCATTTCTCCATCCTGATGTTCAGCGTCACTGTCTTCCAGGACTTTCTCTAACATGTCCAGAGAGTTGCGGGCCGTGCCCCAACCCTCCTGTTCCAGCAGCCTCGGTTTGCAACAAGGTAGCAAGTCCACATTCACCTTCTGCTCCCGGTTCCTGCAAAAGCTGTTGTGAAGACATAGGCTCACGTTTCGTTCTAGGTCAGCTCTTAAGACCTCTTTCTTCTCCTCTTCAGTAACACAAGGCGTTCCAGCTACCCGCTTCACCGCTGTGGTGACCGCGTTTCTGTGCGTCAAGAATGCTCGTTGATAGGCTCCTGGTCCTATATCTAGCTGGAAAGATCGATAGGCTTCCGTGTTCCTACCACTGCATCGCATCGCAGAGATTTGTCCGTGGTCATCACTGCACGGAACCAAGGCATCAATCTTTGCCTTGACCATATTCTTTCAATGGCTTTAGGTATCCTCAGAACCTTGCAGGTGGTTCTGAAAAGATCCAATTCATGACTCATCTTCGCGTTGATCAACTGCTCAGGAGTCGGCACGGCCGTCTCCTGCTGACTTGTGTCCGCGTTAGCCTCCAACCATCTCACTGCTAGCATGGCGCTAACCACCACGATTGACACTTGTTGATTCTGATCGGGCAACCCCGTGGAGTACAATTCCTCCACGTCCCATACTAGGATCAGATTCCCGCGTTTGGGGTACCACAACGTCTGCGCCAAGCAGTGGCAAGGATACTCCCCATGGGTTCTCACTATGTTCCTTCGGGTCCGATACCCTGAGGCTCCCAGCAACGGTTCCACTTCCATCAGAATTCTATGTAAATTGTCTTTCTCTTCTATGGTAGGGAATTCAGTGGGTAACGCTTCACTCGCTTTCTGTTTCTGGAACTCACTCACGTTACCTTCGTTCAGTCTCATGAACTCTTCACCCACAACATCTTGCAACTCGCCTTCAGATCTTTTCGGGACTGCCCGAAAGATCTTTGCCAACAAGTCATATGACCTTTCTGACATTCTGGCCAACCTCACGCACTTTGGCACAGAGAAAAGTTGGTCAACCAACACTTGTTGCGTCCTCGCATCCATTACCACCATGTGCGTAGGATACTTGCTATTACAATATGGCGCTGAGCTTGAACCCACCATATATTTTGAACCAGTAGGTCTGTGATAGGCTTCACTGTCCTTCAGATTCATTTCATTTTCTAGAGCTTCTCGCCAGCCTCCAATTTTCTGCTCGGTCTGTAATGCTCCAGGGAATATCTCCACGCTGAGGGACGTCACTAGCTCATGGGCACGCTCCAGGCGCTCGAGCGATTCTATCGAACTCGTCATGCTACAAAATCCCAAGGCTGTGATCGGGTTTACGTCCGTCACCCAATGGCAGTCTGCAACCAACTCCATGGCACTCTTATCTGACATGCTCAATCTTCCGTACAATCGTGCCAGTTGTCGATGCTGCTCGCTCAGCGTGATCAGGCAGTGTCCCAGGTTACAAACATGTCCTTCCATCCCACTGTGTTGAGCCAAGCATGTGCCCTGCTTCAACCAATTACTCGGTGTACCTTCCTCGGACAGCTCCGTGGACGGGTTGCTCTTCCTCTTCGTCAATCTCATGGCCAGCAGGTGATGTATCATGGCCAGATCATGTAAACTCGCATCATCATCCCGGTCTAACATGATATCCGCGGTCATGTCCCAGATTAAGCCTGCGTTAGGATGGGGACACCAGGAAGGCTTCATGAGTTCCCACATCACTACTAGACTGGTTTTCAAGGGACCGTCCCAAGAACCACAATCAAAACTCACTTGCCCTTTTAGCTCGGGAATCGAGGGTTCGACCACTCGTTCTTCCAAAATAATTCCCAGCTTGGGTTCTTCCACCATCAGCATTCCGATTTCCTTAATTCGTTCAACCCAGAAGTTGAGCACTGTGACTTGCTCATAGTCGAAGTACGCTTCCCTGGCTTCTTCGTTCACGAAGGGATTATACGCCATCCCCGGTATGCCAGACACATATTGGAACGACTTCAGTTTCCCTAGTGTTGCAAACTCTTTTTGTCCTCTGACCGCTTCAATCAACTCTCGGCTCACTTTCAATTCTTTGTTGGAGTATCTTCTCACTTCTTCCAACTTGCGATAGCTTTCCATATCATTCGACTCCTTGCTTGGTACGGTCAATGGCATGTCCTGATATAGCTCTAGGAGTGCCCTAAGGAAGTTCCTTTCACAATCAACTCCCTTTTGCCGAATGATCTTTATACATTCTCCCAACACAGGAGTGGGGATACGATCCACCACGAACCTGACAAAGCAAAGGGCATCCTTACGCTTAGCCCAAGCTATCGCTGAATCGTCTTTCGAAATCAATGCTCGTAGATCTTCCAACAATTCTAGCTCTTGTTCTCGTGATCTCGAATCATTACTGGCTTCATACTCCGCCTTTTTGATGCCCATCAGGCACCAAGC